GACAATTGCTTTCTCAACGACATAGTTAAGGTTTAAAGTTCGATAAGCGGGGAAAGAAAATTTGGGGGTGGGGTGGAGATAAGTTTGAGTATGACATAAGCTAGAAACTCTATAGTGAAACTAGGATTAAGCTTGCTCTGATACCAAATGATACGGGAGTTAACCAAATAATAATGGGAAATGTAATTTTTATTATAGGAATCAAATAGGGATTACAACAAATGCACGCCAAAGTAAAGAATAACAAAGATACGCAACACAAACACCCAACTAAGGTTTGGGTCGAAGGTGGTGGGAACGCTGCAAGAAGGCGAAAGGTTTGCATAGGGGCGGTAGCAGGATATGTGAGCCAACTGGACTGCAGCACGAAAGGAGGAGGTTGTCAACAAGGCTGCAATAAGGGTAGGGGAAGTCTGACAACAAGGAGCAACTATTGGGGTGAGACCTGGGGACACTGTGAACAACAGACATGGATGGATGGCGGCAGAGAACAATAGGAATGGAAGGATGGTGACAAGAAACAAAAGGTAGGGCAAGCTGGCAAAAAGAAATTGCAGGTTAGGCAAGCTGAGGACAAGAAGCTGCAGGAAGGGAAGGCAGGGATGATGGTTGGGCATTTTTTTAGTTCATTCGAGCTGACGTTGAGTTTGAATTCTCAAATTACGTTGCACTGTAAAAAATCCCCCAACAAGATTGGGGCATTTTTAAGAAATTTTATATAAAATATATTTAATTTATACTTACAAGATGGGGGCTCATTTCTTGGATTGACATCATGTGTTAAGCCGAGATCCCAAAATATGATGCCAAAATTCTCAATTTCAAAGCCACATTGACATCTAGCTTAAATGTCGAGATCCCCAAATATTTGCAAGAAATTTCCACCAAGCGAAAATAGATGCAAAATAAAATATAAAGAAAAAGATATCCTTTGATCAAAATCCTCAAAATTCAATTAAAAAGATTGTGAGATTTTCAAGCCTCGACGATTCAAGTTGGAAGGATGTAAGTTCTATCACAATTCATGTCTAAGACTCAAAAAGGTCGGAGTTAACAAGCCCAAATATAATCGGGTTGCTCACAGTTCTTTTCACTTAACAAGCTATAAAACCAATCATAGTGAAAGAGCAAGCTTTCTCTACTCAAAAAGCCATAAAAATGACCGCAGTAGGAAAAACCCTACATTGTTAGCCTGATGATAGGAATTGTCTAGTTCCTAAGGTCATCCAATTTATAAGTCAAGTCTTCCAAATCAAGAAGACTTTTTAAATAAAGAAAAATTTTCAAGTCTATAAACCAAAGCTTCTTAAGCTAAAGAAGCACAAGTTCATCATAGTCCAAGTTTAGAACTCAAATGGGAAGGTTGACATCCTCTAATGCACCTAAATGGAGGTTGACATCAGAAGACTGTCGAATTTTTAAATAATTTAAACTTGTAACTTTTTTTTTATGTATTTGGAATTTTTAGACTAATAAAAATAAAAATAAAATAAGGATCATTTGAAATTTTAAAATAATTTAAAAATTCGAACCCTTAAAAAATAGACACATAGGATTATAAAAAATATTTAAAATCTTGAGCTTTTGACATTTAGGCTCTTTAGGCTTGACATTATTTAATATTTAGGCTTTTAGAGCTTTAAAATTTTAAAATTTTTGGGTTATTAAAATATAAAATTGCAAACCTTATCATATAAAGATATCATTTTTAAAATTTTAGCTTGTATCTAAAAATATTTTGAGATTGAGCTATTCAGACATAGGCTTCTAGGGGGCTATGCACGACTCAAATATGGAGCTTTCTTATAATTTGAAATTATAAAAATCCCACCACCGAATTCACAATACTCCTAGCTAACAAAAGGTGGTCACTTTTTAAAGTCTAATATCATAATACTTTTGCAAATACCATATGAAAATATTTAAGATTCATGTTATTCCTAAGTCCAATGCAATGATTTTGAATATATGAAAATTTTTTGAGACAATATGTACTCTCCTAAACTGTATATGCATTAAGAGATTCATATAGATAAAAGTCATATACATGACTTCAAAAATAACTTTATCTAAATTATAAATCATAGGTTCAAAGGTTGCACAAGCCTTCAAAGTCTCCAAATTCTTTAAATTACACAAATACATAAGGTTAAATGCCCGCATGTTCTCCAACCAAAATACAAAATGTTTAAATACGAGATTCAAGAATGTTGTGCGAGCTAATCAAGCAGTTTTATTTATATGACAAGGTTGTAAGTCCTACATCACTTGTCTGATCTTCCTCCTAGTAAAGATCGGACTTAACGAGTCTAGTTAATTTAAAAAATGTCCAAATCCTAAATATTAAAATTTACAAGTCCAAATCGCCTAGTCCGATTCTTCTACCTAGAAGGATATGAGTCGACTAATATTTTGAAGAGTTTAAATTGACAAAATTAAATGTCCCTTTTCAAAAATAAATGTTTTGAATCTCTAATACCCTGATGATGGTTGTGTTGATCCAAGAATTCAATTGGAGTAGTTAATATTTAAAATCAAGCTTTTCAAAACAACCAACGAAATATTTAGGTTGAAATTTAATCACCTCAATGCTAAAAACAAATTTCATCCACTCTCTGCAACAGTAAATTGAGGGTGACAAATTTCTAACAGACTTCAGCTCATAAAGAGCCAATATCATATTAAGTGTATTGTTATACTCACAATCAAAGTAATTGCATGTCATTAAGAATGTGGGCCGAGTCCTCTGTCCGTTCGATTCTGCAGTCAAATGACACCACAAAATAACAGTTACGACCAGAACCCTCTGACAGGGTGGTTGCTGCCAAATGAAAACATTATGTTACGGTCATGACAAAAGTTCATATGATCATCAATGACTTTCAATCATTTGAGTTGTGAATTATGAATGTACAATTTATTGGCACAATGTCTTCTGTTAACTAAGGTCAACTTAAATTTGGCCCCTCATTTAAACATCCATCCTATATCTACAAGAATTTCTTAGACGACGCAACCCATGGTTGTTGACAATGATCCTGCTGTCAGGTTGGGTTGACTACATCCTCTGACTAAGTAGATCAAGGACCACGATGACCGGGTTGACGGAACCATGAGATCTTGATCGGGTTTCGGCTTCATTCCCCCACCATCAGTTTTAGGCTTCAAGTGATAAATTATACAACTTAAATACTAAGTCTGCTGTTATTATATGTTGAATACTTAATTCTTAATGACTAGACTTAATCGAAAGTGCTCCTCAGTTATTGGGATGAGTAATTAACCATAGGTGTTTGCTTCTATAGGAAACCTCAAACCCCAAATAAAAAAATCCTCATAAAATGTGGGTGAAATCTCTTAAGAAATGTTATCTACAATCCAATTTGTCTTTTGAAAATTCGACCCTCCAAAGCTCTCTCAAATCAAAAATAAAAATAAATTGCAAAGTCTCTTTGAGAGTGGTCATGAATTTTTGAAGCCTACAACAATTCTTATCAATAATCAATGTCACTTGATTGTTATCTCCCAACCATTCTTCCAATTTCATCGCTCGTCCATCGTTGTCCAACATCCATTGCCACTCAGTCATCATCCAACCTTTGTCTCTCATCTTTTATTGTCCGACCTTTCTTGCCCGTCTGTCATTCTTCATATGCGAGGGACCTCCATAGAGAGGAGAGGACCAATGACTAAAAGAATTTGATAGAAGTTCACCAAATTTACACTTAATGTGTTCTAAACGCAAGGCACCACTATTTGACAAATTTAATCCACCTCCTTTCTCAGAAATTCTTAAGCATTTCAAAAAGAAGAAAGCTATTACAATTTCCTGGCCTCTATTATTTTATGGAGAGAATCAGGATCAAGCGAGACTTTTTTAGGAATTATATTCCACACCATTTTCATTCAGCCTCGGATAACTCATGGCCTAATAAATTTCTTTGACACCTATGAAATTTCTCCTTATTCTCGTTAAACTATATCTTTGTTTTTAAACTTTAAAAACTATCTTTTTGGGCATTCATTACTGTTGTTAACAACTAACCCAACTCCCTATAAATATCAAAGATTAACAAAGTTATTTCCAAAACTAGCTAGTTTGATCCATGGATCCTTTTCTCTAACAAGAAGCTAAACAAATTTAAGAAATTTTAACCAACATTCCTTAAGTGAAAGCTAATGGATTTTCCAGCATGCAAAAGCTGCATGACTGTAGAAGATTGAGAAGGACCAATCTTTCATGAACGAGAAGAACAAAGGAATATACAATCACAACCATATCACAAAAAATAAAAACCTCTTCTAATATTCTTTCTTTCACTCAGGCCATTATAATTGAAGCCTTTGCCGCTTCTCCAACTTATATAAACAAGTTGCAATCCATGCAACTTTCTTTTTTTTCAAATCCCCCCTCCAAAAAAAAGGAATTGATAGGCTAAGCATATCGGGAAAACGAACGGAACAACAAAGCACGCGAAGGGGAAAAACAGGAAGGGAAGAAATAGCAAGAAAGAAAAATTTTCAAATTCTCACTTCTTTTCATTATACCCCAATTACATATATTTATATCCTTACACCATTACAAGATTAGCAAAATCAGAAAATACCAAATAAGGAAGAAATAGCATAATGACAGGAAAAACATCTAACTAATTACAGAAATCCTTAAGCAGAGTAGAAGGTATTCTGCTCTTGCTGGGTCGGATAAGGCAAAAATTATTCTGTTCTATTTCTCAAAACAAATATCTCAAATTTAAACTTTGTCTAGCTTGTACCTTATGCTTTAACTAAGTTTAGAACTAGCCTTGCACCTTATTTGTAATCAATAAGATTATATTGGAAAATTTTCTTTACTTGAAAAAACAAAAGCTCATCTCATGATCTAATTTGGAAGATATATTACAAAAAGTACTAACTTCAGAAAGTAAGCACAATAGATTAATATGCATAATAGATAACAATATCTGATCGAGAACATTAGAAAGGCCATAAAGAAGACATGAAGCTGAACTTCAGACACAACAATTACTAAAGAATAACAATCTGAAATACATATAATAGTTTTAAAATGGATGGATTGGACAAATCAAGCATCTAGTAAGGCAGAGAATCCAATTTAAGCAATAAATATTCGCATTCCCCTGACGCAGCTTCAAAACTTTCCTTAGCAAATCCATCTATTCGTTAGCTGGAATGTAACTTTACAGGATTTGAAAATGCAGTTTCACTTCCTGGCTGATCTTCAAATTTACCATATCCGAGCTATGAAAATATGCCAGAGAAATTCCATAAATATATAAGAATTTATTGCGGACGGCATAAAAAATGGATTTATATATATATATATAAAAAGGAGAAAACAACACATTGATGCATTTTCTTTTAAATGCAGTATGGTTGGAAAAGCCATCAAACATTCAGGAAGTCTGTATAATCAGTATGTGAAAGTCTCGTCCAAGCCAAACATATTCTTTGTATTATCTTAAGCCACATACCATAATGCATGCCAAATGTTATGCCCTCCAAAAATTTAAGAAACGTATTCCAATGGTTGAAATGGGTGTGGAATTCATTATTCACCTACGGTTAGAATAGATAAGAAATAGGGAGATTTACATTAATACCACTCAATTCCTATGTATTTACATATCTAACACCTACAATTCAACTTTTAAATATATGACACCTGACCAAAGCATTAAAAGATGTACTTCACTTTTTTAAAGTTAAAATAGTGGTAATTTTTATGTAATAGAAAAAATTGGGGTGGTATAAATGAAAAAAGTAAAGTTTAGCTGTTAGATATGCAAATACTTAAGAATTAGGTGGTATGTATGTAAATGCCCATTAAGAATAATATTTCCATGCTTTCCCCGCTAAACTATGGAAAACACAGAAAACTCACATAAAAAAGCATCACACTGAGAAGCAATACCTGCGTAATCAAGTTTACTGCATTAGCTAAACTACTTGAAATGATCATCTTGCCCAATCATTGTCATGTTTGCATTTTTCACATGACAAAAGTTTTGTGATGAATGTAGACATAAAATAATGTAAATAGCTCAAATAAATTATGAACTTTATAAAATTTGTATTAATGAACAATCCTGGTTACACCAAAAGGCCTAAACACAAATAGGCTTGTTCTGCTAGTAAGACTCTTCAAGGAACTATGCTGACTGAACTTTAATTATTGAGGAAACATCTAAAGCGTCTTCATCTAAATGAATCATATTTAAGGACTTGTTTGAAACTAAATAATTCAATTCTTAAAAAAGACCATTTTATCATGTGATACATTTTATAATTCATGAATTCAAACTAAAATAAAATAATTACAATTATTTTAAGTAATCATTCACTTAATTTATTCTAGGCGCAAGACAAATCAACTTACACAATCTTTTAATTTTTGGGTTGAATTAAATTATTCATTTTTACTTTTTTCTAGCTTTAATTGAATTGACTCTAAGTTGTAATGAATACTATTAAAGATTCACATAAACACAACCTTTTTCCAATAAAAAGTAAAGTAACATTAAATTCGCTATGTTTGAAGAAGTAAATCTTTGTTTCAATATAATAATTAAGCAAGTTACTAAATTTAACCGGTTAGCGCGCATACACACACTTGCATATATAATAACCATATAAAATGTTATAATTTATTTAATATATAAGGCTAGATGACGTCATATTGAATTTAGTTTAATCATTATATATACATATACATTTCTTATTAAATTATGTGTTAGTTCATTAGTATTAATTGAGGTGTGCATTTTTTGGTCCAAAATAAAAACTAAATCAAATTAACTCATTTAGTTGATTCGGTATGCTTTTCAAATAACGATTAGGCCTTTTATTTTAAAAAAAATTAATAATTTGTATTCTTATTCTCAGAACAATTTTAATTTTTATTAAATTAAATAAACTTAAAAAATGAATACTATTAAGATTATAAAATTAAATTCACTTGCTCTCCGACACCACCGCACATCTGCCCACCTGCGGCACTCCTGCCTCGCTACCGTCGGCCTACATATTTTATATTTGATTTCATTTTTCTTCAAAAATAAATAAGAAAATGTGAATTATTGCATTTATTTTACATTGAACCAGACAACTTCATAGAATTCCAAAAACAATACCTTACTTTTACATTGCATTAACATCCTTTTTTTCCGGCAAGCCAACGAATCTCTAAATCCCTCCATTGAGCATTCACAGAATTTAATAGATTTAAGAATCTCTCCTCTAACAAACAATTTCTCAGAATTAAACAAGATTTAACAATTCTCATGCAAAACAATTTTAAACACTGTCAAGATTTACTAAATCTTAAGATTCATTGAATCGCATTTAAGTTAAACCAAGCTGTAAAATCCTTTGTTACACCTGACCTTAATCCTCTCAAGATTTACATAATATTAATAGTAGGCCAAATAGATCCTTAGTTCTAGTTTGATTTCATCTAGGTGCTGCCCAAAAGGAGCAACATCTAAATGTCAGGCTATTTCAACATGAACCAACCAGATTCACCTTTGCCAGAAAATATTGACATCCTAATAACGCTATCATCTAAATAAACTTATCTTCTATAAATCACAATCAAACAGCCCATAAGAGCTATAATCCATACAAACCACATGAACAATCTGAAGATAACTATGCATGCAGAAATTATCGCCACTGTATATTGCCTCATTCATTAAAAACTGAAATTAAATAAGGCCATTTGAAGTAAACATAACAAGAAAACTAAGTCAATAGAGACATAAAACTTAGATCTTGCCCATTTTCAAGTAAATATAACAAGAAAACTAAGTCAATAGAGACATATACCTTAGATCTTGATGATCTTAGCAGCTCTTATGAGTGGGTTGGCCTTAGAGATCTCCTCCCTCCCTGCAGCCTTGTAATCAAAAGAACAATCATGCCTGTCGGAATATCGATGGCGGGAGCAAAATAGGTCACCGCACCGGCACCGGAAACCAGAGAGAGCAATCCTTTTCCGGCAAGTCGAGCAACGGTTACCAAACTGAACTAGAGGCTGAGATTCTTCCTCCAGCTTCGGCAGGGAAGCTAACTCGATGGCAACAGCTGCTGAACTTTCAGGTCTCTCTGTCCTTTGAGATTGAACAGCATCCAGAGGTTCCAGTAACAGGCAAGACGGAGATTGTTGTGGTATTGACTGAGATGATGCAGATGAGAGAGAAGTGTTTGATGGCTGTGGAGAAGAGGGATTAAGAATCTCCGCCTCGTCTTTGCCGAGATTGCAGCTTTCCGGTGCCATCTGATGATTTAGGAACAGCTGCTTGAAACCCAGAAAGATCTACTTAAAAAAGAAATCTGGATTCAACGTAAAGGAAATTAAAAAGGATGACTTACAGATTGGAAGATCGGGGTTCTTCCTGACAGATTTTTGGTGAAGAAGATGAAAGCTAGAACTGCAAAGCTAAGAGATGCAAGCTTTGTCAAAACCACCTCCCAACATCATTGAGGAAAGAGCAAAATCCATAAAATTGCTCTGATTCATAGAACAGATCCTAAGCTTGCAGTAAAGTTCCCCCGATTCATCGACGGGCAGAAGAATCCTATGGATCAATCAACCCGTCTGATAGGAGGAATCGAGGTAAAGTCAGCTCGAAACTGTGGCGATTTATGGAAGATGGAAAGAGAAGGGAAAGTTGTAAACTTCAGAAGAAAAAAATAAAAAATAAATAATTATAAAATATTGTGAAAACGATTAATATTCTTTTTTTTAATTTTTTTATTTTTATTTTTTTTGAAGAAGGAGTGAAGCTGCTGGCTAACAGCCACCGATTATTAGTTGTAGGGATATCTATTGTTTATCCATTTCGACTGAATTTTGATTTTATATTCAATTCCTTGCTCAAATTGTGCAGTCATTTAAACGATATTAAACGTGCTATTTTATATTAGCTGAGACCTGGTGAGCATTCCAACTAGGGCTGTCAAAACAGCTCGCTGTTCGTGAACAACTCGTGTTTCGCTTGTTAAGAATCTGGCGTTTGGCTCGTTAGCTAAGTTAATGAGCCGAACATGAACAAATATTTGTTCATTCGTGTTCGGCTCGTTTTGACTCGAAATATTACTAATCAATTATGTATATATATATATATATATA